CCTCTCCTCTCCTCTCCTCTCCTCTCCTCTCCTCTCCTCTCCTCTCCTCTCCTCTCCTTCTAGTTTTGGGCTTCTCAATAATTTGTTTTTGTGTTTAAATTTCGAAATAACAAAACAAAGGAAGTAAAGAAGCCATTTTAAAAAATACTATTATAACAATGGGCTATTCTCTTAAAAGGTTAAAAGAACTTGTGTTAGTTATTGAAACATCTTGTGTTATGGGGACTATGTACCTCTGAAAGTATTTGAATATATTTACATATATACCAAGTATCTAAGGAATCAAAGGATCACAACAGAAGACCACATAGACAAATGAATATATTACACCTGCTTTGCAAAATGAACAATGGTAGACTGGTAATTAAATTCTCAAAAGATTGATTTTTGTTCTTGGCACACATGTGTGAAAGCATATCCTTTCTCTTAATTCTCCCTTAACCATTTAAAAAAAAAAAATAGGGAACTTTGGTGCCAAAATATGTTTGGCATTGCATTAGAATTCCACTGTAAAACTGAATTTTATCTTAACTTACATAGAATTAACTTAGCAATCTATAGACCTAAGAAAATAACTATATCATAACTTAAGTGCCTTACCAAGCTGAAAAAAAGTCTTCATTTGAAATCACAAAGAACTTTGTGAAATTTTCACTACATCTATTTCTGCTTATTCACTAATAATATTTCTCTAAGAATTTATTCATTTAAACTGAAATTTGGGGTTGCTCTTCTTTTGTCCCACAATTCAATAATTGATGTTCTTGACTACTCTAAGGCTTTCCGCCTCTTTCATGTTCTTCAGTCTGTAGTGTCCTGCATCATACTAACTGACATCAAGTTTCAAAGAGTGACAAACATCATCCAGTTTTAACCCCTTTCATCCCATGCAGGCTTATAATGAAATTTCAATTTGGACCATTTTTCTCATAGTCTTCTCCAGTATTAGTCCAATAATTAATCCAGTCTGGGATAAATTTGTGGAAAACCAGGGACCTCTGGAACTTTTACTGAGAATGGATCTCAGTAAATTTAACTTCTCTGTTACACTGTATGATTGCAATAATTATTTCCTTGAAATATTTGTTTTCAGATGATGCAGATGATGCATACTTGACTCCTGAAATGTAAGTGAATATCTCTTTACAACCTAGGTATTGAAACCTATTCAATTTCTTGTATGTGTATGTTTTGCCTGTGGTTTTGGGTTTCTGTGAATATTTGTATACAATCTTAAAAATGAGATTCCAAAACTGCCCATGTGTGTACAGGTATGTGTCCCACCCACAGCTTTGTATGTATGTATGCATGTATGCAACAGCTGGTAGGTTTGGCAGAGAAAATCCATAAACACCTAAGTATGTCCCATCATTACTGGCCTTCTAGGGTGGACATGATTACACCAGCATTCTTTGCATTAAAGCACAGAACAGGAATAAATTTATGGGTGCTATAACTCTGTTTATAAAACATACTGTAATTGAAAAGAATATTTGCTTCAGGAAATATTCCTAGTGTTTTACCTTTCACTACCTGTTGCAAAAATCATTAATGCAAAGCACTGTTATGAACTACTTGCTTTATCTTGCAGAGATGTTAGCAACTGAAGCAATCCATCAGTCACAGCTAGCTTTCTTGACTTGTATCATAATTTTTGAGCAGCAGGCCTCAATGCAATGCTGTTGATATATTTGTAGGTTTGATTGGAAAATAGCAAGCCTATATCCCAGTCTAATCTATTTTATAGGCTAGCTCTTCTTCCCTTCCTGCTTTATACTCAGAACAAAAGAAGAGAATTAGGTACATTGCTTTGGAAGACAGGCAGAATGTAAGTGTAATGCACAAATCATCGCTAGCTGGGCTTAAACCAGGATATACTGTAAATGTTTTTCATAGACAAAATTGAAACGGTAATGTAAATATTTGGCAAAATATTTCCTTGTTGTGGTTTTTTTCTTAAATATTACAAAATTATTACTTCTCTTTGGACTAAATTCCTTTTGTACCCAGCTGTCTTTTGCTGGTACTCCTTTGAGCATGAAGTATGCATGGTCTGTGCATGTGAAATAATGTGCTGGTTTTTCTTTCTCTCCAGCAAGAGAAACTATTTCCCCTTCTCCTTCATTCTCTCTGGCTTGAAATTTCTGAAGTTCTATAAACTGAGGGCCGCAAATACTTACATCAGCTTGATCCAAAAATGCTTAATCCATAGTTATTGTTATCAGTGAATTTCAACAGCAGATGTGGATTTTAAGCACATTTGTTTGCATGTCTGCAGTGAATGTGGGGTTAAGATATATAAGTTATTGTCTGGTAGGTTCTGTTTAGACAGCTTTTGGAACATGGCTTGTGTTTCTGGACCTTTCTTGCTATGGACATATGTGTTTGGGTATCTGGTACTGTGATAAGCAGACAAATGTGTCAGCGCCAATTAACACTGCTCATATCAGTGCAGCAAGATGTGTATTATAAGCTGGTGAGTAAACTTCAGAAAGATGACTTAACTGCATGAAGCTATTGCTTCCGTAAGGTTGAGCAGAAATTGTCCGAATGATGATTGGATGAGTGAAAGTCACTCCCAAGTCAACATTTAGCAGTTTATTAGTTTTTCTAGATGTACAAATGACAGCTTGGGTTTTTTTTTTTCCTTTTTTTCTTTAGGTAGCACTCTTAATTTATACTTCAGCTTTATGGTCATAGCAATAACAACAACAACAACAACAAAAAAATGGCAAGACCTGGATGGTCCATTACCATCTTTCTTTCCCTTCCCTTCCCTTCCCTTCCCTTCCCTTCCCTTCCCTTCCCTTCCCTTCCCTTTCATGGTATTTGATTGTACACCTGACGTCCTGCAGTCCCCAGTCCTCTTTGACATATGTTGGGTACATTATAATGCTTAATAACAACAAGGATGATTTGGCCATGCTCATCCAGCAATAAGCTAGCTGAGCCACATGCTTCGGCTTCTGTCAAGTCTAGCTTTTGATATTCGTGCAGGGATCAACATACACTTTCAATACTTATAAATGGGTAAAATGCCATTCAGGTTTTTCATTCCCTGTGCTGGGTTTTAGATTTTTTGTTTGTTTGTTCGTATGAAGGGGTTGTGCCTTCGAGTCAGTGTTGACTCCTGGCGGCTGCTTGGAGTCCCTGCAGTTTTCTTGGCAAGATTTTGAATTGGTTTGCCATTGCCTCCTTCCTAGGGCTGAGAGAGTGACCGGCCCAAGGTCACCCAGCTGGCTTCATGCCTAAAGCAGGGCTAGAACTCATGGTCTCCTAGTTTCTAGCCTGGTGCCTGAACCACTACACCAAACTGGCTTGGTGGATGCTGGGGATTAGATAAGTGAAATGCTGAGTGTTAGGTGATTTATTTATTTATCCTTGTTGTTTAAAATCCTTTATTAAATTCTATATGATCTGTTGTGACTGGTTAGCATATGTTGACCACATAGCTGTTGTCTAGGTTCTGGAGAACTCAGCGTATCTCCATTCAACTAGATGGAGCTGGCATTCTCAGTCTTGGATGTCCATGTTTCTCAAAGAATCTACTGAATTATTAATCAGTTTGCTCTCCTTCTGTGCCCATATGCTTCATACAGTCGTGTGAAAAAGAAAGTACACCCTCTTTGACTTCTATGGTTTTATGTGTCAGGACATAATAAAAATCATCTG